AGGATATTTCAAAGGAGCAAATATAAAGAAGGAAACTGACCATGAGGATGAGGATGATGATGATGGAAAGGGTTAACGCGGAGGTGCATTAGAGATGCATGGAGGAGCAGAGGGGAGGAGGCGTTCAGCGCTGAGACATTGTCATGCAAACAGAGACCACCGCCTCGCCATTGTCTCCTGGACACCAACTTTATTATAAACACACCGCGAGCCGCCCGCCGCAGCAGAGCACCGGAACACCGCCACCGAGAGACACGCGCTGGATACCGCGAGAAAACCACGCGTTCCGCTGGAGTTTGACGCCACATCCGGAGCTTTCGCGTCTCCGTCCACGCTCCACATGTACAAAATGGATTACTCGTATCTGAACACGTATGACTCGTGCATGGCGGCGATGGAGGCGTCGGCGTACGCGGACTTTAACTCGTGCAGTCAGGCGAACACGTTCCAGTACAACCCGATCCGGACCGGCTTCAGCTCCGGCCCGGGATGCGCTCCGCTCGGTTCCGCCAGCTGCACTCTGGGCGCGCTGAGAGAGCACCAGCCCGCGCCCTACAGCACAGGTAACACACACACACACACACACACACACACACCACTCAGATCACACACAGGAGAAGCGCAAGCAGCGGCGGATCCGCACGACCTTCACGAGCTCGCAGCTGAAGGAGCTGGACCGCGTGTTCGCGGAGACGCATTACCCGGACATCTACACGCGGGAGGAGCTCGCGCTGAAGATCGACCTGACCGAGGCACGCGTCCAGGTGAGGCCGCTGACTTTCAGGGGCGTTTTCACTCTTATACTTTTGATATCCGTATAAAAACATCACACACTAAATAGAATCTTGGCTGATTTGAATATACGGGTCTCGCTTTTGTTTGCCTCCAGCGCTGTTCGCAGACGCTTCCAAATCTCATTAATTCCGCTAATTTTATTAGATTGATTTATAGCAGCTGCATTCAGTCTGCGCATTGAAAAATAAAGAGGCTTTTCGTTCTCAGCGATGCCACAGAAGAAGCATTCCTGAGAAGCGATCAGTTCTTAAAAGCAGCTTTTTTTTCTCCATAAAATCGTTTTTATTTTTGTGGAATGGAAAGGTTTCACGCTCTTAGAAATAAAGGCTCTTTATTGGCTTCAGCCTTCGACGTCCATGGAGCCACTGAAGTAATGTCATGACTAATGGAGAAACATGTAATGCAGTTAGAAGAGCTGGAACCAAATATTCGCTACTGATTAATGATCCATTCCTGAATGGCCAATCTAATCTTGAATATTAGTATTCTTAATAATGCTGTTTAATCGCTAAAGATATAGATGTAGTCAGGAACATCCTTTCAGTTGCTTTCAAAAGAGGTTTTTGGTGAAAAATCTAAAAATAAAGTTGGGAATCGTTTTGTTAGATACTCTTCACACTAAGAAAAAAAGGTTCTTTTAAGAAAGCAGTGTTTTGAGGAACTAAAATGGTTCTTCTGTATAAATAAAAAAAAGCCTGTTTTTGGTGCACGCCGTCACTCTTCCTCAACAATGGTCCATCTTTTTCTTAGTATGGAGATGATTTTAAAAATCTTTTCCCACTATAAAGACTCTTGTGGAATATAAAGGTTCCACACTCTTAAAAACAAACGTTCTTGATGGTTGAGATGAAGAACCTTTAATATCCGTGGAAGCTTTCCATTGCACAAAAGTTCCTTAATTGTGGAAATATGTTCTTAAAATGTTCTTCAAACTAAGAAAAAATGGTTCTTTTATGGCATCAATACTAGAACCCATTTTCGGAAACGTTAGTTTGAAGAGTCTGCAGTGGAACAACACTAAAAGGCGTTTTGGGTTTCCCAAAGAACCTTTCGGCGATCAGTTCCTAACAGAACCATTTTCTCCGTAGAGTGAAGAATCTAAAGAACCTTTTCCGCAGTAAAGAACTTTTTGTGCATTAAAAGGTTCCACGGATGTTAAAGGTTCTTCAATGCCAATCCAGAGCCTTTATTTTAAAGTCTGAAGATTAAAATGTTTTTCATATATGTGACCCTGGAGCACAAAAGCAGTGTTAAGTCGCTGGGGTATATTTGTAGCAATAGCCAACAATACATTGTATGGGTCAAAATTATAGATTTTTCTTTTATGCCAAAAATCATTAGGATATTAAGTAAAGATCATATTCCATGAAGATATTTTGTAAATTTCCTACCGTAAATATATCAAAACTTCATTTTTGATTAGTAATATGCATTGCTAAGAACTTAATTTGAACAACTTTAAAGATGATTTTCTCAATATTTAGATTTTTTTGCACCCTCAGATTCCAGATTTTCAAATAGTTGTATCTCAGCCAAATATTGTCCTATCCTAACAAACCATACATCAATGGAAAGATGCATAAATGCATAAATCTCAATTTTGAAAAATTGACCCTCAAGACTGGTTTTGTGCTGCAGGGTCACAAATGTATCTTTTAAAGAGGAACCCAAAATGATGGAGATGTACATGCTCATGCTCGTCACTCTTCCTCAGGTTTGGTTCCAGAACCGACGCGCCAAATTCCGTAAGCAAGAACGCGCCGCCAACTCCAAAGGAGCTAACACTGGCGCCAACGGCTCCAGTGCCAAGAAGTCTGGCGAGAACCGCTCTTCCTCCGAGGATGACGAGTCTAAAGAGTCGACCTGCAGCCCGACGCCTGACAGCACGGCGAACATGGGCAGCCCCGGGGCCAGCAGCCTCAGCCCCAGCCCGGTCTCGGGCTCCTCGGCCGGCTTTACCAACGCCTCCATCTCCCCCTCCATCCACCAAGGCCTCAAGAGCCCGCCATGGCCCAGCATGGGCTCCGCCGGGCCGGCCCTCCAGACCCAGGACCTGCTGAAGGCCTGGCAGCCGGCGGACAGTATGGCGTCTGGGCCGTTCGCGGGCATTCTGTCCTCATTCCACCGGAAACCCAACACAATCAAGACCAACCTGTTCTAGAGACTCCGCTTCGTGCGTCTCCGTCGCTCATCTACTGCTAGTTCTGTTCTATCCATTGATTTGCGTAGAGCTAGACTCCTGATGGTTCATTTATTGTCATGTTGGTGCTTCTGATGTGTGTGTGTGTTTGTGTTTATTCAGGTCTTGTTTTCCTCTTTATGGAGGGTCTGAATGCTGCAGAGACGCCTTAATCAACATCCCTTGAATCGTCAGTAAATGAGTTCTTAATTTCCTCTTAAACGAAGGTCCAGAAACGTTTGTCCTTTCGCAGGAGCTTCAGAACCAGAAATCAGTTCAGGTCTTCAGGACAAGACGATGAATGAGAACGAACTGTGATGCGATTAGACGAGCTGCAACCAAATATTCACAACAGATTATGGGTTTATTAAGGATCTGTTTCTGAATGACCAATATAATATTCCAGATTGTCCGTTTTTATTCTTCAAGAACTAAATGTCCAAGAGTTTCCTGGCGAATTTAAGGATTCAGGATCAGAATGATGTTGAACTTGTGTCTTGTTGATGAATTTCTCATGTGGTTCTTCACTGAAGCTCTTTGAAGATGTGTGTGTGTGTGTGTGTGCGTGTGTGCGTGTGTGTGTGAGTGTGTGTGTGTGTCTGTGTGTGTGTGTGTGTGTGTGAGTGTATGTGTATGTGTATGTGTGTGTGTGTGTGTGTGTGTGTGTGTGTGCGTGTGCGTGTGCGTGTATGTGTGTGTATAGTGTGTGTGAGTGTATGTGTGTGTATAGTGTGTGTGAGTGTATGTGTGTGTATAGTGTGTGTGAGTGTATGTGTGTGTATAGTGTGTGTGAGTGTATGTGTGTGTATAGTGTGTGTGTGTGTGTGCGTGCGAGTGTATGCGTGTGTGTGTGTGTGTGTGTATAGTGTGTGTGTGTGTATGTGTGTGTAGTGTGTGTGTGTGTATGTGTGTGTGTATAGTGTGTGTGTGTGTGTGTGACCCCAGAAACAAGCATAGTTAAGCCACTTGTAGTTAATTTATTGAAGGAAAAAAGAAAAAGAAAAAAAAAAGTTGGGATGATTTTTTTTAAGCTAGGCTATTATTGAAAATATTTTGTAAATATTAATATATGTAGTTTCTCTCTTTTTTTTTTATGTTTCCTGGCTCCAGTGCACGCCATGTGTTTCATGAATGATCTGCTGTATATAATCCATAAAAATGACAAAATAAAGAGTGAAAATAAAGACTTCTCCAGTCACATCTCCTATCAGACGCATCACATCCATCTGTTGTTCTAGTATCACTAAGATGCTATTATCATCTTTGTTAATGTTTTTTGATTCCATGTTAATTTTATTTAAAGTTTTAGTAATTTTATTTAGTTTTTGTCATTTTTTTATTTCTTATTTTAATATCTATAGTTTTTTTTATTTCAGTTTTAGTTAAAGTACATGAATTTAAACTGAATGAAAATTAGAAATGTTTGTTATATTTTAGTTTCAGTTCAGTTATTTTAATTTTAATATTTAGTTTTAGAGAACTATAATAACCTTGGCAGGAGCTCAATGAAAGCTCAGAATATTCCAGGAATTCCTTGCATTTAGATTTTGATTAGAACAAGAAAAATCTCCTTTATTGTGAAGTTGGGTTAGAAATGCTATGTACAAAACTTAAAGAACGTGTTTAAACATCATCCTATAACTTCTTAAATTTAGAATAACCTACAAGTTGTCTTAAAGGCCTTCATCTTCTTTTTAAAAATGAATGTATTTAGTTATTTCAAATATTAAGCATTAAAACACTATTTTCGAATCCAGCTTTTTGATCAACACAGACTTTGATAATGAAAAGTGACTAATGAAGAGAAACAAATCCTGCCGTATCTTCAGAAACACAGATAGACATATATTACTGAATATATAATAATATTACTACATACTATACATGAATACATAGTATTTATATATCTATTTTGTGTGTATACATATCATCCCAGAAAATGTTCAAATGAGACACACTTTTCTTTACTGAACATGAAGGCACATTAGATTTAAATTTTTATTAAATTGAAAAAAAAACAAAAAAACATTAAAAGGACAGAAACTCAAACACAATATTAACTTATAACAACAGAGTTATTTATATTCAAAGGATTATGATTATGAATGACGGGCGAGAAACATATAAAGTTAAAACTTAATACACAAAACACATATACATGCATTTTAGGAGAAACACCCCAATGATAATAATATTAAAGACTCTGTTAAATAAAACGAACAGTTTTCCTGCTAAAGACTACAGCGGTGTGATGCATTACAGAACGAGGTCAAACTCCAGCTTCCCAAACTGAAGCTCATCTGAAAGAAAAGCTCTTTGAGACTGAGACACAAACACTGAATCTGAAGCAGGGTGTGAACTCATCACATCTTGAATGAACGAATCAGACTGCATTTGAACGAACGAACGAACAAAGATTCACATCTGTATCTGCTGCAGTCAGATGAAGGCTGATCATCCAGCGCCACCTACTGTTACAAACCTGAAGAAGATTTCTGACAAACTGACTGATCTCCTACACAGTGAGCTGCTGATTTGGGCTTTTCCCTTTCCTTTAAAGTCATAAAACATGCAAGAAAAACAAACTGTTCATAATTAACACTTCAGTCACCAAAGGTGAGGAATGTTCCGATGACTCACTTCCTCCAGAAGTCGGGGGCGGGGCTTAGCGAAACATCCTTTTTGACTTGTTTAAATAATATTAGGAACTAAAACTACCAGCTTTATTACATCAGATTAAATTAAAACCACTTTCTCTACCAGTGCAAAGTTTCTCTCGGTTCAGTCCGGTCTGGATCGGCTCATTTCTGCTGCTGCTGTTGCTTTAAGCTGGCCAATAGTATTTTCTTGTGGGCGGGGTCATGAACGCCCGCCTCCTCCAGATCCTCCTCTGTGATGTCACTGCAGGAAAGAGACGTGATTGGATGAGAAGCTTGTACTCAAAATACATTTATGGACATTCTAATCACAATCGACTATGATTGATATTTCTGAGCAGCGCTGAGAAAACATAAGAAGTATCGTGTGTAATAGGAAACCTCCTAAAAATAGGAAAAATAACTATTTTTAAAAATCGCATATCTACATGATTTACTACATTTGTCAAAGTTTATGGTACTTTTACGGTGCTTTTGCAGTTTATTTTAAATATTTTTATTACATTATAAAAATGTTATCAATAAAGAACTTTGCTACTATAGTAATAACACTAACTCTACTGTACTGTAAAATAAAAAAGTATTTAAAATAATAATAATCATTATTATTATTTTACAGAACAATGCTAAAAATACAATACTAATAAACTAATAATTTTATTTTAACTAATAAAAATGTTGCGAACCCACAAGACTTGCTACATTTGTCACAGGCTATGATACTTTTATGGTGCTTTTACATTTTGCACTTTTTAATAGTTTTATTCAATTATAAAAAGTAGATAAATAAAGAAATGTATTACTTTAGTAATAACTCTTACCATAGTGTTCAGTAAAATAAAATAATAAAAATATGTACAAATGTAAAATAAAATCATTATTATTAAAATACTTTTTTATTTTACAGTACAGTAGGGTTATACAGTAGTAATATATGATATGATTAAATTTTCAGACCGACAGGTGCGTGTTTAACCCCTGCGTGACTGCCGCAGACCGACAGGTGTGTGTTTAACCCCTGCGTGACTGTGCCGCAGACAGACAGGTGTGTGTTGTACCTAAGGAACTCCAGGTCGTCCCAGCCGTTGTGCAGCAGTCCCTCCTCGTAACGCTGCAGACCGAGCTTCTGAAGCCACTCGCCGATGTTGCACTCCACCGACAGACTGCTGCTGCTGCTCTCGTCATGCCACAGGCCCTGCATTGCAGCAGCAGCATACAGTATACCATGATAACAACCGCAGACAGACAGGTGTGTGTTGTACCTAAGGAACTCCAGGTCGTCCCAGCCGTTGTGCAGCAGTCCCTCCTCGTAACGCTGCAGACCGAGCTTCTGAAGCCACTCGCCGATGTTGCACTCCACCGACAGACTGCTGCTGCTGCTCTCGTCATGCCACAGGCCCTGCATTGCAGCAGCAGCATACAGTATACCATGATAACAACAACAACAATCATCGTAATAAATTATTCATTACTGTTATCATATGTGACCCTGGAGCACAAAACCAGTCATAAGGGTACATTTTTCAGAGTTATGCATCATCTGAAAGCTGAATAAATAAGCTTTCCATTGATGTATGGTGTGTTAGGATAGGACAATATTTGGCTGAGATACAACTATTTGAAAATCTGGAATCTGAGGGTGCAAAATAATCTAAATATTGAGAAAATCATCTTTAAAGTTGTCCAAATGAAGTTCTTAGCAATGCATATTCTAAGATCATACTAATCAAACATTAAGTTTTGATATATTTACAGTAGTAAATTGACCAAATATCTTCATGGAACATGATCTTTACTTAATATCCTAATGATTTTTGGCATAAAAGAAAAATTTATCATTTTGACCCATACAATGTATTGTTGGCTATTGCTACAAATATACCCCAGCGACTTAACACTGCTTTTGTGCTCCAGGGTCACATATTTATTATAACTTATATAACTTTTAACATTTTATTAATACAAATTATTTTAGATCAATATTATTACAGCTGACAAGAAAATGAATTATTGTTATATTTTGGAATCATTCATTTCTAATGTAATTAAAAAATATTTAATAATAACTATTAATAATTTGTTAATCTCAAATAATATCGATTAATAATTATTATTAATAATAACTTCATTATTAATTATTGATATCATTATTAAAAATATTATTAACAATATAATTAAATATTATCATCATAATTTAAATTACATTAGAAATTAATAATGATAAAATATAACAGTAATAATAAATATGATTTTTAATTGTTATTATTATTAAAAATATAATATACTGATTAGTATTATTAATATTCCTTAATATAAAATAATATTATTATTAATTGTTATTCGTCATAATAGTTAATAACAAATTCTTCTTATTATAATTAACAAAATAAAAATATTATGTATTATTATTAGCAACATTTAAATATATTTAATTAAATTATAAAATTAATAAATATACAATATAATAAGTATTATTAATTATTGCTATTATTAACAATGTAATAGATATTATTTTGTATTAATAATATTATTATTAATAACTGTTATTTTCTTAACATAATAATACTTAATAATAAAATTATTATTATTGCTATTGACAAAATAACAAATAATTATTATTTATTATTATTATTACTATTATTATTATCGTCATCTCAATATTATAAAATGATAAAATGAATAAATATAAAATACATTTATGTTTATTAATTTATTTTTACTTACTAAATTTAAGAATTATAAAAATTAAATCAATAAAAAAAGATTCCAAGACACAAGCCGCCCCGACACACTGAAAACCCCAGATCATGAGCTGCTCGCGTGTAAATGAACACAGTGCGTGTGTATTGTTGTGTCACCTCCTCGGGCATGTCTTCTGCGATGCTCTCCTCCTGTATGGAGCGCGGAGGGAAGGTCAGGCCTCTGATGTGAGGAGCGTTTGTCTTCATGATGCCTCTCCCCGACGGATACTGTACTTCACTCAGCGTCTTGGCCATCTGCAGCACCGAACACGATTGGTCGTCCAGTCCCGAGGCCCCGCCCCCACGACGGAAAGGGCTCGGGTTAATGGGCGGTGCCTCCAGACAGAAGGCCACGCCTCCTCCAGAGGGTGGTGCGAAGCTGGGCGACGACAGCGGTTTGGACAGAACTACAGACGTGGGCGGGATCTTGACGTCGGCGAGGTCCGGAAACATCCGTGGTTTTCCGAACGAGTTCTCCGGCATCTCCAGAGCTCCTTTGGGCAGCGGAGGAGGAGGGAAGTCAGGCGGGGGACGATTCAGCGACCCGACGTGAGGCCCGATGTTCCCGTCGTCCTCTGATGACCCTTCCTCGCTGATGGGCCGAACCGGGCGTCCAGACGTCTGCCGGCGGCCCGGCACTGAACTCCCACTGGGCGGCTTGTTTTTCCCTACGCCGCCTGCAGGAGGAGCTGTTTTATTGGCTAGCGGAGGGAGGGTGGAGCTTGGGAGCATGTCAGAGGCCAGAGCAGCGGATTGGTTGGGAACGCCTTCTAGAATGTAGTAGGCGGGGTTATTGAAGCTGTTTTTGCACGTCATGGCGTCGCCCTCGAACGGATCCTGTTTGCCTCTGACAGAACGAAATTTGACACGAATTTACTGGTGAGCTGAATGTCAAAGCAAAAGTTATTATTGTTAACTAGAGCTAAAACTAAACCTATTTTATTATAATAAAATAAAACGTAAACTTTCTTTATTTCAACTAGTTACCAAGGCAAAATTTCTTATTGTTGTTTAACTTGAAGTACTAAAATGACTTAAAAAAAAATAAAAAAAATTACCTGCAATAAAATAAATGTTAAATT